TGCCCAAACCACCGTAGTCTTCCCTCCCTCAATTTTTCAGATACATGCACCACCCCTAAGGACATCCTAATAGCATAGTTTGGTGTCATGTCCCACAGAGTCCTACCACATGCCCATCGAAGCATTCTCATTTCTGCGGCCTCCATCCTCTTTTCGTGATCCTTCTTGATTGCCCATCATTCTAATCCATACAGCAGCGCTGGTCTTATTGCCATTCTATAAAATTCTCCCTTAAGTTTTAGAGGCACCTTCTTGTCACACAAAACTCCAGTAGCAGCCCTCCACTTTAGCCATCCTGCCTTTATACGGTGTGTAACATGATCATCTACACCCCTATCTTTATGAATCATAGACCCTAGGTACTTGAAACAATCCTTTGAGGGGAGAACATGTCCTTCTATGCTTACTTCTACATCTTCATTGTTTTGGTTCCCACTGAAGTTTGAGCATAAATACTCTATCTTTTCAATATTGATCCTTAAACCTTTTTCTTCCAAAACAGTCTTCCAGGTAGTCAGTCTACTATTCAACTCAGTTTTTGTTTCAGCAACTAGAACAATGTCGTCAGTGAAAAACATACACCATGGAACACCGTCTGGTGTCGCACAATAGATGTCGTCCATAATCAAGGCGAAGATGTAAGGGCTAAGAGCCGACCTCTGGTGGAGTCCAATTTCCACCGTGAATGCCTCGGTGTCGCCAATTGTAGTCCTGACGTATGTAGTAGATCTACAGTACATATCACGAATTGCCCGGATATAAGCAGATGGTATCCGTCTAGTTTCCAAGGTCTTCCAGATCGTATCGCGAGGAACGCTATCATACGCCTTCTCAAGGTCAATGAACGTCATGTGAAGATCTCTATTTTCCCCTATATTTCTCCACAAGCCGTCGAAGTAGATGAATCGCCTCCGTAGTAGACCTGCCTGGAATAAAGCTAAATTGGTTTTCCGAAACCCTAGTAACCTGTCTCAAGCTAGTCTCTATCACCCTTTCCCATAGCTTCATGGTATGGCTGAGTAGTTTAATACCTCTGTAGTCTAAATGAGGAGATAAATTATCTTGACTGTCGGAGCACGCATGTGTCATTCAAGACTATTCAAATGTTTTGATCAAATCCTAAAGGTTACACGAGTGACACGAAACTAAAGTAAAAAACACATTGCTCACTTTTATTGATTAATTACTATCACATTTTCCAATCATTAATCAAATGCCACACATGCTAAAACCATGGGGAGCCATTTATGTCTTGAAGCAGGGACGGAGCCTTTGGGGGCACTCCCCCACCCCAAAAAATATTATTATTAAAAAATATAAGGATAATTATTATTTAGGTCTTTAATTTTTTATATATTTTTATTTTGTTCCTCTATTTTTTATTGTTAATTGTAATTTGTCTCCTTGAACCAAAATTCTAGCACCATCCCTTGTTTTAAAGGTTACATCAATCACAAAAAATCACAATAGAAGTCTTACAATGGGAAGCCTTTCAAAGGATGGAAGGGTCTTAGGAGTATCTAAAACTACGTGGATCCACTTATATTTTTCTAAGCATCCAACAAAGGTTAAGGGATTCGTAGTGTTGCACGTTACCTTAGGAGATGACAAAAATTTTGTCACAATAAATACGAAGTTCCTTGTGATAAACCAACCTTCCGCTTACAATGCAATCTTTGGAAGAACTTTCATGAGGAAGGTCAAGCTGATATTGGCCACATTCAGCTTAACCGTGAAGTTCCGCACTCCCATGGAAAAGGGTACATGAAGACAACCCAATAGACAATCAAAGAATGTTATATGCGATCCTTACAATCTCCCAGCATGCCGTCACCACGTCCTCCACTCAATCTTCTGAATTGATGTAGATCAACAGAAGAATTAATGCTTTGGATTGGACTCATATCAAATTGGAAAGTTTAGATGCCATGGATTCAAGAAGGGTAGAGTTACTGAGCAGACGAAGACTATCACCTCTTCAAGGGAGATCAAGGAAAAATTACACAAATTACTCCCACTCCCCTTACCTAAAAAGACGTTCCTTAATTAAGGTATTGGGAAATAAAGAATTTTAGTGACAAATTAAGTTTTCATAAATATAAAGTTTCTTGTGACAAAAATTTTGTACGACACTATTAATAAAAGTAATTGTGATGTATTTTTATTTTGTCATTGTTATAGTAATAATGGTGACAATTAAATTTTTTTTCACAATTAATTTCTCACAATAAATATATAATCGTGACACAAATTTTGCTATCACAAAAATTTGACACTATTAGGATATCAAAATTGACATCAATTATTTTTTTGGCGGGAAATGATACGATAGTGACGACATATAAAGTTATCACTATCATATGATATTTTTGTAACAATAAAATTGGTTGTCACCTACCATTTTCCTTTTGATTGTAATAAATATTGACATCAGACTTTGTCATTAGTCTCTATACTATGTGCAAATAGTGATTTTAGTTGTTATGCTCTAATTTGATCGATTGTGGTCAATAACAATTTAAATTGTACAACAACTATAAGACTAATAAAAAATTAATAAAATTGTCTTCACCTTTTAACTATATTATTTTATATTGTTATGAATTTTATTTTTATTAATTAAATAATTGATCGACAATAATATAAGATTTGAAAGTGTCATTTATTCTTCGATTATGATTAGTTTTTTCTTCAGTTAGTTTTTATATGTATTTATGATTTTTTATTGAGATATATGTGAATTTTACAAACACAAGTCAATTATAAGTATTTTGTTTTTTAATTTAGGACTTCCACTGTAAAGAATTAATATATTGTCAAATATTTTTATCTTATTTTATTAAATATAATTTAAGGAAACTTGGTGTTATATTAGGTTTAAATCTTAATATTTTAAAATCAACTAAATTATTTTGCATCACATCAACTATCATTGATAATAACTACAATAATAGTGATTGCAATACAAGTTCCTAACAAAGATGATTACAACTAAAAATGTAATATATATTATAATTGATTTTGTAATACATTTTTAATTAATTAATTTAATTATATGATTATAATAAAATATTTTTGTCAATGTTACTATCTTTCTGTGTCAAAAATGTAGTAATAAAAACTTAAGTAATTGTGATGAAATTCACGAAAGTGTTAATTAATATGCTAGTGACAAAGTTATTAGTGACGACTCAAAAATTTTATCACTATCATATTCAATAACTAAATTTGATACTTTTAATGACAATCCTTAATATCATTGAAACTGTATTTTCTTGTACTGTCATTTGGATATGTTCACTGTCGACATGCGAAGAATTGATCCTTCAATCATCTTGAACACACTCAATGTCAAAATCTCAATAAAGCCACTAAAAAAAAAGGCGAATACTGGCTACTAACAAGATTTAGGGAATAAGGCAAGAAACAAGCGAACTTTTAGCGGTATGCTTCATTCAGAAAGTGACATATCTGCAGTAGATCTCTAACATGGTTATGGTTAAGAAGGTTACATGTTTGATGGATAAATTGAAAAAGACAGACATCCAACAGATTGCTAGGGAAGAGAACTCTTGTAGCGTTTCTTTATCAACACTGGTAGTTTTTGTGGGAATTATTAAGAGGGAAAAGGTACTGCTTGAATATAAAACCTATCCAAGCTATGCCTAGATCAGGTCATGAGTTTAGATGAATGATCAAATTGGATGACCCATGTAACACCGCTAAAATCAGTTTTATATTTTTTAAGCTTCTAATGATTGGAAAATATTTTTCCATGCTATTTTGAAATTTTAGAATCATTAAATTAGATTTGAATACCTTGAAATGGAAAGGAATCAAGTTTTAAAAGGACTAAATTGTAAAATTTAAGACATTAAAAATTGGGGACCAAATCAAAAAGGAATGAAAGTCCAATTATGCATGGCAATTAGACCATTTTCCTTATTAGTGGTTAGTCGCTAACTTAGGTGTATACTATATAAAAATCAGCCTAATTTTATAATTAAGAAAAAAAGCGCAAATTGTGCCAATTTGGGCAAATTGCAAAGAGAATCAAAACAAGCCTTCTTCTTCATTGGTTCTACACCATTGCTGCAAATCTTTCTGCCCAAATATTTCACGGCATTAATGGTTGAATTTTAGCTATCCAAACTCAAATCCAAGCTCCAACTTCTGAAGTACTTATCTTGATCTCTTCTTTGGAGTGTTCAATACATAATTAAAGTTAGTTCCAATTTGATTCCTAAACCTTAAATTGAGATATTATTAATTCAGGGTCTTTTAATCCAAATTTAGAGTTCATATGTATTGATCAAGGGTGTAACACTCCATGCGGGATGTATGACCTCAAGTATCTGAATGCCACATTAGATATTGAAGGAAATCAGACACATACCAATCCTTATCATTCATGCTAAGTGAAACCACAGAAAAATAAACCAAAAATCATGTTTAATCATGCAATGGACATATCATTCATAAAACATATTAGTTTACAGGTAAATCTGTTAAAAAATACAAACTAATATTTTGGTAGAATTATTTCATTTATTTCAATCATTTATTTACATAAAAAAGTCCTTATATACAAAGAATATGTTGTAACTAATCTACTAATCATAAGCTAACAAACTAAAAAACAATAAATTGTACAGTTAATCAAAGCTAATTAACACTTTCTTACACTCCTCTCAAGTTGGTGGTTGAAAGATATCTTTGAACCCCAACTTGGAAACCAAATATTCATGTTGATGTACGCCCAAGACTTTGGTCATCAAGTATTCTTATTACTCCCCTGTTCTGATGTGTTCAATTTGTATTAGACTTTCTTGGATTTTTTCTCTAACAAAGTGACAATCTATTTCAATATGTTTAGTTCTCTCATGGAAAACCATATTTTCTGCTATCTGCAAGGCTGCCTTGCTGTCAAGCATTAACTTAGCTGGTTCCATACTCTTCAATCCCAATTATGTTTTTTTTTGGATAATCTTCAATCCCAATTATGTTAGCAAACCTCTCAGCCATATTATTTCAGCAGCTGCCCCTGCCATGCTTCTATACTCAGCTTCAGCAGAAGATCGTGCAATGGTATTTTTATTCTTAGACTTCCAAGAGAACAAGGACATTCCAAGTTTTATGCAAAAACTTGTTATAGATTTTCTAGTCATTCGGCAAGATGGCCAATCAAAATCACAATAAGTAAACAGTTTGTATTCACTTGCTGCATTTAATAAAATCCCCTTACCAGGATTTTTCTTAATATATCTTACCACCCTTAATGCAGCTTCAAGATGAGATTGCTTTGGTTGGTGCATAAACTGACTTAGGAAATGTACTGCATAAGCAATATCCGGCCTTGTATGGGTAAGATATATCAATCTGCCTATCAGTCTCTGAAAACAGACTTGTCTTATAACAAATGCTCATCCTTACAATGTGCTCCATCATATTCAACTGTAGTAAGTTTCTCGTTTCGCTCTAATGGAGTCATAGTTGATTTGGCTCCCACTGTCCCAGTTTCTTCAATCAATTCTAATGCATATTTTCGGTAGTTTAGCACAATACCTTCTTTTGACCTTAGAACCTGTAACCCTAGAAAGTATTTTAATTATCCAAGGTCCTTCATTTTAAAGTTACTATTTAAAATATGTTTAAGCTCCTCTACCATTGCTTTATTGCTGCTAGTAATTAAAAGGTCATCAAAGCAAACAAGCAAAATCACTATACCACTCCCTTGCTATTTTGTGAACATAGAGTAATCATGCTTGGTTTGCGTGTAACCACCTATGAGTAATGCTTCTATTAGCTTTAAGCTCCAATTCCTAGAAGCTTGTTTTAATCCATAAAGAGATTTGTGCAGCCTACAAACCTTAGACTCCCCCTGGCTGCAAAATCCATCAAGAAGTTCCATATAGACTTCTTCAACTAAGTCACCTTGTGAAAATGCATTGTACACATCCATTTGATAGAGAGACCATTTAAAAATAGAAGGAAGAGCAAGTATAGTTTGAACAGTAACTAACTTAGCAACCGGAGAGAAGGTATCCACAAAATCAAAACCTTTTTTTTATTGAACCCTTTAGCAACAAGACTAGTTTAAAACGCTCAACATCCTCATTGGCCTTGTACTTGATTCTATATACCCACTTGCAGCCTATTGGAGTTTTACCAGAAGTCAAAGTAACTACAAACCAAGTGTGATTTGACTCCAAAGTAGTAATCTCTTCCTTAATGGCATGGACCCACAAGGGATTACTAATGGCTTCAGCATAGGTTTTAGGACCAAGTAAATGAGAGGTAGAAGAAAAGAAACTTTGAGTATTGGAAGGTAAATGAAACTAAGAAATTTGATTAGAAATAGGGTACTTACTTGGAAGAAAAGAAGATTGTTAGGACTGAACATAGTCATTGAGAAAATTAGGAGGTTTGACAACCCTAGTAAATTTTCTTTGAGGTGGACACTGATTTTCAATTTGAATGGTAGGACTAGGAAGAGTTGTTGAGACTTGAGGTGATGCAGAAGAAGAAGAAGAAGAAGAATAAGAAGAAGACTAGTGATTTGAACAAGGAACAAATTCAGGTGAGATGAAGCAGAACTAATTTGAGGGGAAGATGCATAAACGTCAAGATAAAGAAAATCAGAATCAACAACAGTAGGATGTTCAGGGGGAAAAGAGAGGACTTATTGACCGGAAAAGCAAAAGGAAACATTTTTTCATGAAATACCACAAAACAATTCTTTGTATGAAGGTCAAAGAGAAGATAATACCCCATAAAGACATAATGTAAAGCCTTTGATGAGAATTTATCCTCATAATTAACCTGAGTTGCATAATAAAGGCAATCAAACACTTACATATGAGAAATATTAGGTGACTTGTGATAAAAACTTCAAAAGGGCTTTTTCTAATTTAAGACAGTTGTGGGAAGCCTATTGATGATATAGTAAGCGGTTAAAACACACTCACCCCCAGAATTTTATAGGTGCATGAGACTGGAAACAAAGAGCACGGGCTACTTCTAAGAGATGCTTATGTTTACGCTCAACAACCCATTCTGCTGGGGTGTATGGGCACATGAGCTTTGGTGAATGATTCCAAGGGATGAGAATAGCTCAGAACAATGATTACTAAAATATTCACAACCATTATCGCTTCGAATATATTTAACCGAAGTAGAATGATGATTTTTATAATAAGGGAAAAAAACTATTTTATAAAATGAATTGCATCACTCTTAAGCCTCAACAAATAAACCCAAGACATTATAGTATGATCGTCTACAATCGTAAAAAATGCTCGATGACCACTATGTGTCGAGATTCTATATGGACTCTACAAATCAATATGAATTAAATCAAAAAGTTTAGGTGATCGAGAAGAGCTAATAGGGAAAGATAACCTATACTATTTTGCAAGAAGACATACAAAACATTGTTTGAAAAAATTATCATTCAAATGAGTAGAGCATAAAAAGTGAGTCTTATGTAGTTTAGTAATACTGGCATGCCCTAATCGTGCATGCCAAAACATTGTATTATTAATAGAAGAAGAAGACATACAACCAGGTAATTGAGAATCAAACATACAAACTGAGGATGACAAAATATAATTACAATGCTTAGAAGACAAACCAGAAACAATATCCTTCGAATCAAAAACATATAGGCGACGACACTCACTTCCAATATTCCTCATCTTCCCAGTGAAGAGATCTTGCAAAATACAAAAATAAGGATAGAAAATATTGCTACAATTTAAGTCTTTAGTAAGCTTCGACAGAGATAAAAGATTATGGTGAAAGTTAGGCACAAATAAAACATTTGGAATGATATCACTGAAATAAAAAAAAACACCAGTGTGTGTAATAAGTGATATTTTACCATTAGGTAAATGAACACAACGGGAAACAGAAGCACATGAAGTGGGAGTTGCAAACATTGGATATCAGACAACATATGATCAGTAGAACTTGTTTCAAGTATCCAATGCACGGAATCAGAATGAGCAGAAAAGTAACTAGAAAAAATACCTGCTAGGTTGACTGTTGTATCAACCGAGGGAGAATTATTCAAAAGTCGAAAATCTGATTATACAAAGATTTGGTGAAAATCGGAGCATCAGGAGCATTACTAGAATCACCAGAACACTATTCATGATCATAATCATCCAAGGATTTGTTGTAACTAGAGCAGTATGAGAACCCTTCTTCTTAGTGAACTTGAAATCGAGGGAAAACCATTTAATTGATAATAGCTTTCACGCTTATGACCCTTTATCTTATAGAAATCACAAATCCCATTAAATCGCCTTCGATCAGAATTTCCAGAAGCATTAGAATACATTGCATTCACTTCTGAAACGTAAGAAATCCCAAAGAGCTAAACCCGTTGTGCTTCCTCTTGTACAATCATAGAATAAGCTTGGTTAACAGTGGGCAATGGTTGCATAATCAAAACTTGGCTTTGAATCATTGAGTATGTGTCGTTATTACCCATAAGAAACTACACCAATTTCTACTGGACAATATGCTTAGAATTTTGTTGAGAAGCATCACAGTTGCAAGTCGAAAAAGGGACAGAAGAATGATACTCATCCCATAATAACTTTAAACAAGTGAAATAAGCAGAGACGGTTGAATCACCTTGAGATAGCGTTGCAATTTCTCGATGTAAGAAAAAATTTGAGATCCATCAATCTTATCGAACCACTCCTTCAAATCAATCCAAAAATGAGCAGCGCTTGAAGCAAAAACAATTACGCCGGAGAGATCACTACTTACAATATTAAGAAGCCAGGATAAGAGGAACGCATTAAAGCGTTCCCACTGAGAGTGCATGCACTCATCATAATCCTCTTTACGACATGAACCATCAACGAAACCTAGCTTATTCTTTGCTAGAAAATCAATCTTCATTGAGTGATTCCACATATTGTACTTGTCAATGTCAACCAAACGATGAGAAACAAGAGCATCGCCCGAAGTATCAGATGGGTGCAGGAATAATGGGTGATTGAAATCAACCACTGTGGTTTATGCAGAGGGGGAATTTTGATGCAATAAAGGAAAATTACCCTAACCAAGAATGAGAGAATTATGTTTTGGTAAGAATGGGCAAAAATAAAAATGGCCCAACGAACATGGGCTAGACAAATACCATGTTAAAAAATACAATTTGATATTTGGGTATAATTATTTCATTCATTTCAATAATTAATTTACATCAAAATGTCCTTCTTATATTCAAAGAATCTAATGTAACTAATCTACTAACCATAAGTTAACAAACTAACAAACAATAAAATGTACATCTAAGCAAAGCTAACTAACACTTTTCTACAAGATCATGCATTTGAAATATCAAAATTAACAAAACAAACATATAAAGGTAAAATAACCATTTTTCTATACATGTGAGAAATCAAAATTTATTTTCTTCAATTAATCAGATTATTAATCATGACCAACTAGGAATTAGGCATAGTTAAATTTATAGTGAATTCAGACTTTAATTGAACATGCATAATTTAAGCACTGTAACATCCTAAAATATGGGTTAACAGTTTTAGATCAGTAATCGGATAATTTCTGTGATTTCCAAAAAAATCATGTTCATTGGAATTTTAAAATATGGTGTTATTAAATATTTTATAAGTATTCATTAAAAGTATTAAGTGTGATTTCAAAGGATAATTGAATTGTTTTTTAGGTTGTGTGGTGATTAAATTGTACTATTTTAAAATATGAAATTTGTTTGATTAAATTGAATAGTTTCAAAACCTTAAAAATCTATAAAGGATTTTCACCAAGACTTTGCTTGATTCTTTTTCCCTTCCATTTCACTGTGTTTCTCTTCATTTTTTCCTTCCAATTACATCATTGTATTTTACTAATCAAAAGTTAATTTTAACTTCCATTTTTCATCTTTCATTTTCTCGCAACCATTCACTCTCTCAATTCTCTTGATTTTCCTTCTCATGGCCGAAAATTACCTATTCCAAATGCTCATCTGCTTTTTTTATTTTTTATTCATTCTTGATCATCCATTTCTCAATTTTATAATTTCTTCTTCTCCTTCATTATTTCTTCATGGTCGATTCTTCTTAGAGTTTCCTTAACTTTCTTCTTCATCTTCATATTCATCTTCTCCATCTTATTCTCTTCAATTTTTAACAAGTTAAGCTTTGCTCCTTGGTTTCCTTTAAGCTTTTTTTGATTAAAAGATTTTTATATTAGTGATAATATATGATTACATAAATTGATTTGGTAATATTTCATTTTGAGTTGGTTTTTGGAATAATTAAATTAGGTATTTTATCGTCCTTATTTCTATTGATTCTTGATGAATTTAAGATGTTTAAAGGTTGATTATAATGATGTTAAAACAAATTTTCAATTGGATTTGATTTCCATTTCGATTTGTGCAAGAAATAATGATTTTAGTAATTTTTCGAAAACTCGGGAGTGCTTGAGTTGGCTGCTTTTAGGTGATTTCTTGGGTTCTAAATGTTGTTTAGGATCAGCTTAAGTGTGAGGAAGCAAGGATTCTCAGGTTAGAAAGTGTATATCACCTGGATGGTAAGGTTTTCGGTTCTTATCTCCATTTTCGTTATGTTTTGGAAGCATAATTTTCTGCTCTATTTTGGAAGTCTTAATGACTCTTTAATATTTTTTCTAAGCTCCTTGGTGAGTGTATGACGAGGTAAAAATAGTGTTCCAATGTTCGATAGTGAGTTAGTAAGTGTTTAGGGTTGAATCGTGTGGTTGCTCCATTGAGGTGAGTGGTTTTCCATTCACTTGTGATGAGTCTGTTCAATGTTGAGTGAAGGTTTAGTATGTGTGAAATTTAAATCTATGGTTCTAGATTGGTTTATTTTTTGTTGTTAATTGATTATATGAATTTATGTTGTGTTTATTAAAGTAAGTGATCACAATGAGCATGTATCTTATGACGTGAATTAT